GATCTCGAGAGCGACCTCAAGACCAGACGGGCTGCCATCAAGCTGACGACCACCGTGGTTGGAGAGGATGATAGCGGGAGCGCCGTGCTGAACAGCAAGCTTAGCATCGGCAGCAGAACCGATACCCTTGATGATCACAGGGAGCTTGGTCATCTTCTGGAGCTTCTTGTAGTAGTCCCAGGTGATGTAGGAGTAGTCGGAGTCGGCTGAACCAACACCGAATCGAGCAGCGCGGTGTCGGTTGCCGTCAGCAGCAGAGTCGACTGTGAAGACGATGGCAGCAGCACCAGCCTTCTCGGAGCGATCGAGGAGCTCTTGGGTCTCGGTGTCGTTGGAGGTGAGGTAGAGCTGCTGGAAGACGACCTGGCCCTCGGACTTGGCCTTGGCGATCTCCTCAATGGTAAGAGAGGCGTAGAGAGCAGGCATGTAGAGAATGTCACCCTCACCAGCACCCTTCATGAGGTTAAGCTCAGCATCAGGGTGGGCGTTACCAGCTCTGGCACAAGGGCTGATGAAGAAGGGAGCAGAGAAGTTGTGGCCTAGGATCTTGGTGGGCAGAGTGTTCTCAACGTTTGTGATATCAACCATAGTTCGGGGCTTGAAGCGGTAACGCTGGAAGACCTCGAGGTTGTTGCGGTACGACCACTCGCCGGCAGCACCATTGCGGTAGTACGTGTAGTTCTGGATGGGGAGGTAGTTCTTAGCAGCCCACTCAAAGTCAGGAAGGCCGACCATCTGCTCGAGCTTGGGGAGCTTTCCGGTGGGAAGATCGCCGACGATGGTCTCAAGACCAGTGTCGGGCTGCTCGAGGAAAGGACGAGCAGCCATGGCCCCCGAGAGGAGGGCGCTGGTAAGGATCTGGGTGCGCATTGTATTGTGATGAGAATGAGTGTGTGATGGGTAGTAAAGAGTGTCTTGAGATGGGATCTGGCTGGGGAATAACAAGTGTTGATCAGAAGGGTGAAGCGGCTCTTTTAAGCTTTAGGGAATGAGAGTTGATGTCAAGACCGAATACTACGGAAACATGTCTTCCATGGTCAAGGTCAAGGTCATGGCCATGGTCAAGGGTGTTTGCCTTGTCTTGATTAACAATGAACCCATCTGCTCTGCTCTGCTCTGCTATGTCTGTGTTAGTTAGCTAGTGCGACTGACATGTCAAGCCTCCTTGCAAAGTCTAACAGATGGGGATACTAACCAAGACCAATGACATCGATACGTAATGCGATGCAACGGCAGACCAGACCATGAGCATGAGCCACGCATCGGAGTGCCGCTGTCTTGGGTCCACTACCGAAATTGCACCTGTAGCAGCTTCTACTCTATCTGATCCGTTTCTGTAACAGGTGAAAGGATTTCTGTATGGGCACTTGGACACTGTACACAGTAGGTAGGTAGGTATCCGTAGATAGGTATGTGATAGTGATGGTGACAAGATACCAAAGGTCCTCTCGTTTATACTACATTCCTCTTTGGTGTTTGTTGCCCGTTATTGCTATATGGTATCAAGAATGCTACATTACTCGTCATATACGCGCATTCACAGTCTTGGCAACTTGGCCCAATGCTCCGGTTCAGAATTCATCCGTTCTCGAGGCGACGATGGGATGGGGGATATAATGTGGAGGGCTATGTTGGGAGTGATACAGCATGTTTCTTGGCATGGTGATCCCTGTAACTCATGTCATTCACACCTCGATCGCATAGTTCGACAGCGCCGAAGTTTAAAACGCGGGAGACGGTTACTAGATCGGGCATTGACTTGACTGTACAGTAGTAAAGTTGCTGAGTACATACATATGTTTCTCTAGTGGTTGGTATTAACAAAGCAACGAGTCATTCAGCCCCCTTGGGCGGTTGAACCTGAAATGTTTTGTTTGACGATAACTTTAGGTGATTTAAGCTTAGAAAATTACCAAACAATCAGGGCAGGCCTTGGGAGGCAAAACTAGCAGAGTTTGTCTTGGATCACTAATGCTCACATAAGGATCCGTGGTCCATATGAGGCAATCCCCTGTTACGCATAGAGCATCTTGTATCCGGTTGATCCTCCGTCTGTTTCACTGGACATGACAAGCCAACATCAAATGAGACCAAGGAACTGAATAATCTCTCACTGTTAAGGATCTCTCGGTGGATCTTTTGACGAATGCTGGGATGGATGTCACTCTCGATATCCCACTCGGATACAGAGTATAGTCTCCACCATGTTTTGTAATCTTGGTTGATGCGTATTTAGAGTTTTTATGCTTGTCTAATAAACCAATTTAGCTAGAACAGACAGAGCATGACGTTGAAAATGAGGCGCAGACGAGACATGACGAGTCAACCTAAACAAGGACGTATGTAGGCACGCCATGCAAGTTCTTTATTTCATGTGCACTCTTGGTCTTCTAGAATATTTCCAGAGCAGGGAACGGAAAACGCCTTCCGAATGCATATTTACAGGGTATCAAATCATCCATCCATATCGAGATACCAAGGGTCACACTCTCAGTGGAAACGTCCCCTTCATCTCGGCATGAATTCCTGCTCGGTCAGTTCCTCGTCGGCCAGTTCCTGAAGCTATCGGTCAATTTTGCTTGGGAGCTGCCAGAAACAGACTTAGTCGAGCCGGGAGCGGCCACAGCAGAGATTCCGTTAGTCACTCAAGTGCCGGGTTCTCGTTAGAGAGAATCGTCCCGCTCGCCTGGAGTTGAAACTATGGCGCCGCAAACGGCCTAAAGAATCGACCCCCCACGTAAGCTCAGCCTTGATCTTTCGTCTTATCAATCTATGATCTTTGATCAGATGTTATTCATCAAGTAAGCCTTGTACTGAATAAACAAGTTCATTGCCGGTGATATGTCAACAATATGACAAGCCTTTAGGCCAAACAGAACATTTAATGGCCACTGACCAACTGAATGAATGCATTGATCAATCATAGACCGCCTTGTTTCGTCTGAGACCAGACCCATTAACCCTACCATCGACAATCTCTCTTGGTCGGAAAAATTCAGTTCGGTCGTCCATCTCGTCCGTCCGACGAGGGCATGCTAGCTCCGAGACTACGAGCATATTTCCATAATAGGAGAGAAACAATATCAAACATTGTCTTTTGGTGGATCATTTGTGAAGCGTGGTGGCTGGTAATAAGCCAAGATCTCAGACACATCCAGGTCTTCTGATCATTTACAGACGAATTGTGAGAGTCGAAATACTTCTTCTCTCAGTTGCACCGTACGATGCCTGCAAATGACTGATGGGACACTCACTATAAGACGTTGTCTCAGCACCCGACTGTGGTTATGTCCGTGCTGTCGATCATATCAAGATACACAGGTATCATAATGATCCTGTTATATCTCTATGATCTCTGGGGTGAGAGTCGCACTCATCCAGGTTATATAGTCTTGTCAGATCTGATCGCAAAATGCTACATGGTTCTCGGTGCAACTGTCAACTGTCATGTACACGAATTAATAACAGTTCGCTTGACTGGTTGCCACTTACAATGCATTAGTGATTATCACAAGCCATAATTACAACAATTAAGCCCAACAGAAAGAGCTAGTCGAGATCTACAAGCTTAATACTTGATCAAAGCAAAACTCTATGAACAATAAATAACTTTGCAGGTATTCCAAAGAATCACATCGTTAATTCGGCTGCCAAAAATTCAAAAGAAACGTCACCTGCAGGATTCGAACCTACGCGTGCGAACACAATGCCTAACCTTGCTTTCCGGAGATAGCAGGGCATCGCCTTAACCACTCGGCCAAAGTGACTAACTTTTTTATATAGGCTAAGAGATAGTACCAAACTATATACCTCATTAATACAACATATTCGGCTCGTCATCAAGTTCATCAGCCTGCCTTTAACCCAACAAATCACACTTGATTTTATTCTCAATGACAAAAACGAATCATCTTGTTTCTGATTCTTTACTAGTGTTTTATCTAGGCTCCATGTCAAACAGAAAATCGTACAGTTTCCGCTTGTGTCAATGCTGAGGATGTCAGTTCAGTACCTACTTAGATAAGGTGGGTTCAGACGATACCTTTCAATTATAGTATAACCAGTTGCTTCCTCTCTCTACAGTGTTCTCGCACCACTTACAGCCGAGGTGTACCACAAAAGAGTACATCTGTTAGTCTTCATTCTGGTCAATTGTGACCTTGGACGATACTACAAAGGCAGAGTTCGCCTACGTCTGAGCACAATGCCTCAATGTCTCGTGCAAGATGGCACAGCATCGCTTTAATCATTCGGCCACCTTGTATTATCATCTGACAGTGGGTCGTAGTTCTGACACAGCATGTGCTTAGATTGATGGTACAATTCAGAAGTCAGTGCCAAATAGTTTCGACATATAGATCGGCATGAAAGTCGAGGCTGAGCTGCGTACGGACAAGGGCGGATAAGCACAAGCCATGCAATAGCTTCGAGAGTATTTGTGCAGATTCGTCAGATGCCAAGGCATTTCGTTCTAGAAAATGGCTATCCCTTGATCGGCAGGGTCTTATTCCCGTCGTATCCTATCTTATACACGGACGATGCTATAAGACTGCCTACTTACTCCGTACGGGGCAGAATCACAGTCACTAAGCCGATATAGGTCCTATTCGGGCGCGATTGGTCTCGTGCTTCACAGCTTGCGTAAGTGAAAGAGTAAGCTCACGACTAACAGCAATTAATCACTCTCACAAAATGCGAGTCCGAGAAACAAAATTGATCGATTAATTTACCAGAATAGGAAGCATTCAAGCGCAGCTTATTTAGGTCTCGTGTAGCTTAGAGCTTAACATCCTTGCCTCGTTCCTGATTCGTATCCGCTGACGTCGTTGTTTCAACTTCCCTCCCCCACTAACATTAGCCACTATTAAGTTAACCGCCGACCTCTTTCATCTTTATCGCATTATCTATAACTGGTACCTACAAGTCTCACTGTTCACTATCAAATGATCATCCAAGCTTAGGTCTCCTCTCAACCCTCTCATCACCTGTGAGCAGCTGCCATGGCAGGCATTGTTGTTGAAAAAGCTGCTGCGGGTCGGCAGCATCAACCCCGCGATGGCGATAACAGAAACACAGGGGCTGTAGCCTCAGACGACCTTCAGTTACCAGATATCAACCCAGCTGAGGAACATGGAGCACCGCCCCCTTATGGAGAGAATCATGATCAGGTTCATTTCTCACAGCCTGGGTTTGACGCTGGTGCAGCGATAACCGGTACATACCATACGTCTCTGCATATGAAACTTACATAAACTAATCTGCGTCATTCTCTAGGCGATGGTCGAGTCAATATTAATATCAATGCTAAGAACAGGAGGCTTACAGACCTTCTCGCTCCAACGCTTCAAGGTCAACTTGCACCAGAGCCTGAACAGCCTGAGCTTCCTCCTGCATATATCCCTCCTAGTCTGGGAGGTCTACCCGGACAAACACCACCACCCAAACTCAATGTCGTCGTCCAGATTGTGGGATCTCGTGGAGATGTTCAACCCTTTGTCGCTCTGGGAAAGGTTCTCAAGGATACTTACGGACACAGAGTCCGAATAGCTACTCACCCTACTTTCCAACCCTTTATTGAGGAGAATGGTCTCGAGTTCTTCAGTATTGGTGGCGATCCTGCTGAACTGATGGCATTTATGGTCAAACACCCTGGTCTCATGCCTGGTTTTGATGCCATTACAAGTGGCGAAGTAAGCAAACGCCGAAAAGGTATTCAAGAAATTCTTATGGGGTGTTGGCGATCTTGTATCGAAGGGGGAGACGGACTCGGTCCGCCACCAAAACCACATGCCTCAAATGCTCCATTGGACGTATCTCTGGAGGTGCCAGGCGGACCTGGTCAAGAGCCCTTTGTTGCCGATGCTCTCATCGCGAACCCTCCTAGCTTCGCTCATGTTCATATTGCTGAAAAGTTGGGTATCCCAGTGCACATGATGTTTACGTGAGTTTCTTGCCTTGATGCAGTGATGCTGAATACTGATCGCCCCTTTAGCATGCCTTGGTCCCCAACACGAGCCTTTCCACACCCCTTGGCAAATATCCAGTCATCAAATACAGACGACGTGATGACGAACTATATGTCGTACACTCTAGTCGAAATGATGACATGGCAGGGCTTAGGAGATGTCATCAACAGGTTCCGGGAGAAGGCACTCGATCTCCCCCCACTTTCACTAATCTGGGCACCTGGACTTCTTGCAAGACTCAAGATCTCTTGGACATATTGCTGGTCAGTTCTTCTATCACATTTCAATTACATGTCTAACTTGGTACAGGTCACCAGCATTGATTCCCAAGCCCAATGATTGGGGACGACATATCGACATTGCTGGCTTTTACTTTCTCAATCTTGCTTCCTCATACACCCCTGATCCAGACCTAGAAGCATTCCTTCGAGATGGCCCGCCCCCTGTTTACATCGGATTCGGATCCATCGTTGTCGACGACCCCAATGCCATGACCGAGATGATCTTTGAGGCAGTCAGACTTTCAGGCGTCAGGGCATTGGTCTCCAAGGGCTGGGGTGGACTTGGTGCTGATGATATTGGTAAACCTGATGGCGTGTTTATGCTTGGCAATGTTCCTCACGACTGGTTGTTTGAGCACGTCTCATGTGTGGTACATCATGGTGGTGCTGGTACCACTGCCGCTGGTATCAAGGCCGGAAAACCTACTCTTGTGGTCCCCTTCTTCGGTGATCAGCCATTCTGGGGTGCTATGATAGCGAGAGCCAATGCTGGCCCCGACCCCATTCCTTACAAACAACTGACAGCAGAGAAGCTTGCAGAAGCCATCAAATTTTGTGTCAAACCGGAGACTCTGGAGCAGGCCAAAATTCTGGGTCAGAAAATTCGAGAAGAACGAGGAACTGACGTTGGTGGTAAGAGCTTCCACGATCATCTGGACACGGACAAGTTGCGTTGTACTTTGGCTCCAAGCCGAGCTGCAGCATGGCGCGTAAGGAGAAGTCAAGTAAGGCTGAGTGCTTTTGCGGCTGCAGTGTTGGTTGAGCAAGGTTTACTGCAATGGTCTGACCTCAAACTGTAAGTCGAGATATGGAAACTGCCAGGGTTGAGCTAACATGTACAGATACCGTATGACGGAGTACAACACGGAAGAACAGCCGACTGACCCAATCTCTGCTTGCACATTGTCACTTGTCACTGATATAGGAGGGATCGGAATGGCAATCGCCGATATGCCCAGGGAGCTTTTCAAGAGCATGTCGCAGCCCAAGAAGAAAAACTCGGCTGCGGGAGAAGCACAGGATGGTGCAACCCCTCTGGCATCAGGAAGCGAGACGTCACTCCCTGCACCTCAGGGCAATGAGTTGGAGAAAAGATCGACGCCTGCACCTAGTATTGCAGACACAGAAACTTTGGGCTCTACCATTTCTACTACTGCTCACTCCAATGCCTCACAGCCAACGCTGAGTGACACAGCATCCAGCGCCTCTCGTCCTTGGTCTCCAGACCAATCAAGTACCCAAGGATCTGTCAATGACAAATCTTGGAAAGAGCAGATCAAAGAAGCGGCTGGTAAGCAGCAGCAGCGTCGTGCGTCGTCCGTCAACTACGTGAATGCAGCTGTCGGAACTGGAAAGGGAGTTGGCCGGGTTGTGACCACTGGTGCCAGAACACCAATGAACTTCTGTCTTGGACTAGCCAGGGGTTTCAGAAACATGCCAAGGCTGTATAATGATGACACTATTCGTCCGGTCGAAAAGGTAACAGGAGTTGGCTCCGGAGTTGTGGTCGCAGGCAAGGAGTTTGGCTATGGCCTGTTTGATGGCATCACTGGTCTGGTAACACAGCCTTTGAAAGGTGCCGAGAAGGAGGGAGTCCAGGGGCTGGTCAAAGGTTTTGGCAAGGGTATCGGAGGTCTGATTGCGAAGCCGGCAGCCGGTAAGTTTGTTTTCGAAGCGTCAGGAATTGTTGTACTGACATAAAGCAGGTTTCTGGGCCATTCCAGCTTACACCATGCAGGGTGTCAATGCAGAGGTCTCGAAGTACTTTGCCAAGAGTGTCCAGAACTATATCACCTCGTCACGGGCTACCCAGGGTCAGCGAGAGATGCACGAGGCAACACCAGGCGAAAGAGAAGATGTTGTTCAAAGGTGGAACAACGTCAAGTTCGACCTCAAGAACTTCTACCAGTGGAAGAGAAAGGAAAAGGTTGCAGGAAAGCGCCCTGAAGAGCCCCGTCTCGACAGCTCAGAGGCTGGGTTCGAGCGGCCACGTACAGGATGGAGACAGACTAAGAATATGTCTTTTGAGGAACGAAAGAAACTTCACGCCGACAAGGATGCATGGAAGAGGGGATTCCTGGACGCGCCTGTCCCACAATCAAACGCAAATGATGCTGCAAGTATACAAACCAGCCCATCTGAGGATCCCGAGCTTGAAAAGGCCATTCGGGCGTCAGTGCGTGAGACATCGCGTGGCGACAGTGAGGAAGACGCCCATGTGGAGGCAGCTATCCGTGAGAGCATCAAGGCTGTTCGGCAGCAGGTTGGGTCAAGTGAGGCAGGCCCGCTTCCTCTAAAGGATCCGTCCATTTTCGAGGATGCCGACTACCAAATCACGGACGAAGAGTATCAGGCCCTTGTTGAACAGGCGATCCAGCAGAGTCTAGGCAACGATGTGCCGTTGCCCGACTATTCTGATGTGCCAGAGCTTGACGCAATGGATACTGTGTCTCAAACTCCCGTCCAGACCTCCACCCAGGAAGACGATGCGGAGCTCAAGCGAGCCATTGAAGCCTCCAGAAACCAACCTCCGCCGCCGCTCCCGCCGAGGGAAGAAAATGACGAGGAGCTTGAACGGGCCATTGCGGCGTCGAGAGAAGCTATGGAACAGGAAAGCAATCAGCGGTCTGAGGAAGATATCGTTATGGAGTACGTCAAGCGACAGAGCTTGGCGGAGGAGGAGTATAGAAAACAAATGGCAAAGGGGAAGGGTGAAGCGGGTGGCGGCGATGATGAAGACGACGAGGAGTTGAAGCGGGCAATGGAAGAGAGTTTGAAGATGAATCGGGGAGATGCATCAGGTCCATCAGGAAGATGAGGCCGTAAACGCAACAGAGGATGTGATGTGAATTCGACAAACCTGCAATAAACTAGGATACCCGCATTAAGCACGAAACATATGAATGGTGCTGTTTATAATCATGTACCTATTTGTGCAAACAATCGCGCCAAGTGTATACGTGCATCATGTCATTGGTTTGATGATGGCAGATATACGAGCACTCAGCCGACGTGCATATACTAGTAACTCACCATGTATGCATCCCCTTGTCTCTGTCTATCAACCTCTCTGCCAGATAACTTGAGGACAGGACCAGAAAAAGAAGTATATATCCCATTCCAGTCACTTGTACTTGTAACTCAATCATCTCCTCTCGTTTACCTTGCATCACAACTACCACACTCAATCATCCTCCAATCTACCAACAGACCTGTGATAATGCCTGGGCAAGAGAACGAACGTGTAAGTGAAATACATTCAGCGTCTTGTTTGTTCATTATTTGTATTAACGGCTCTCTTAAACGATCACAGTCACAGCTTGCGGAGCCATCCACAGCCAAGTCTCCTCAGGATGGGAGTGTCAATGTCAAAAGACCTGTAAGTCCGCGAAACAACGCATACGCCTCCGATAGATGCTGAGTTGAGAAAACAGGCCAGAGTTGACAAGAGGAAGAACCGGTATCCACGTCCTTCACCTCAGGGTCGCGGTGCCAGGTGGTTGGCCCTCTGCGAGCAGTCGCGTAGAGCCTCCAGGACCGAGGGGTGGACTTTTGAGGAGTTTGAGAAGCAGTGTAAGAAAAGCACCGAGGTTATTCGGGCTCTGGAAAACAAGTATAAAGAGCTTCACGCAACGGTCGAGGCTCTTCAGAGGGAGCTGAGAGGAGGGTCCAACAGTGTAGACCAAATCTGAGGATGGAGAGCCCCTATCGTTCGTCTGTCTGTATTAGACTTGTTAGGTAAATGTTAGTTGCCACATCAAATTGAGCATCTCTTCTACCATATACTTATCTTCAACGTGTAACGAGACCTTGGGTGGGCATATATGAACCGGTAGAGCGGAAGATATTGGGCAGTGTGTATCGAAGCGTCTTCTGGATGGTAGATCTAGAGCATGTAACCATACCACATCTCAGCTTGTACAGAATAGCAAGGTCGTTATGCATATATAGACGCCAATTTCTGCTCCTATAATAAGATATATCGTCCGTATTGTAGCGAAGTGATCTTGTATATGTCGAGACATACAATAAGTCAGGTAGATATTCGTTTGCCCTATAATAAATAGATAATGAAAGGTTTTTGTGCAAGTAAAAGCTATTGACTCGGTGTTTGGCAGTGATGGCAGCCTCGCAGGCCCAATTAACTAGCTGATTGGGGGGGGTTCTTTATTTCTCCTGGGCCACAAGTCTCTCCCTCCTTCATCACCACCCACTCCCCGTTTTTCGTTCCTACAAAGCAAGTTTTTTTGGTGAGACTCGGTCTCAGAATGATACAATGAGTGATATTTCTCATGTCAACAGTGGCTACAAGCGAAAGAAGAGTGAGGGCCACCAAGTCGTGCGTCCTCCCCTCTTCACCCTCGTATCACCTCGAGCTGACGCGAACAGATGCAGAACCTGGAGGCATCCAGCCTTGCTATCATCAAGACTGCTGAGGATTCTAAGGATATTTCTGGTGCTGCTAAGAAGGACGGTAATAGTAGTGACAATGGTTCTCCTCCGACGAAGAAGAAGAAGCGCACCCACAAGCCTCGCAAGGTTATCAAGGGCCAACCTCGTGAGACCCCTTGCGTAAGATGCATTTCGAGAATGGCCGATAAAGGCCACGAACACGTTTGTTTCTCTCAAGCTTGTAAGTCGCCCTTATTTCTGTCTCGCTATTTATGTCTGTTTCTGTGTCGATGCAAGACCTGTCCTAACGACTATGACTAGCCACGATGGCGTCCGCCTGCTACGACTGCGCCCATATACGCAGTAGCTGCAAAGTTGTAAGCTCGATCCCTCTCTTATTCTATTCCCATAGATACTCTCTAATTTCATTTGGCAGCCCGTGGGTCAAGCTGCTGAACTTGGACAGCAGCTCCAGAACTTTGCCCTCCACATCGCTGACAGCCAAAGCGTGAGTTTGATTTGAGACCTATTCCCCCACGATGCTTAGCTTGCTGACTCTGTCAAGGCCGATGAAAGAGCTACACAGGTCGAATGGCTTCAGAGAGCCAAGGCTGCTAAGGCATCTCTCACCGCGATCCAGGAGATGCCTAGTGCTGCTCCTAATCAAGGATCGCAGAGTTCCTCTGAGGAGCTTGATCCTGCTTCCTCTAGCAACATGCCTCCTGTTGGTAGCATGGAACCCTTCTCAACCGTTCCTACGCATCCTATCCAGTCGGGGCAGCACTACATGGCTCCGCCCAATGGCATGTTTGTTCCCGGAAGCTTTGCTGCTCCTCAGTATCCCCCGGCCGTCCAGAGCCCCCAAGTCTTGCAGAGCATCCCAGCAGGTGGCTTCGTGAGTCCCCAGGGCCCCCTTTTCCAGGGAATCTCTCGCCATGGCCCAGGACCTTACTACAACCAGGCCCATTACTTGATAGGCCGCCTCGAGTCGACCCTGAATCGAGTTGCCGCAGGTTTCGAAGCAAACAACAGACTCATCCGACAAATCCTGGCTCAAGGTGACCAGAACACCAACGCCCCCGTTGATTTCAACAGCTAGAATGAAACTCGCCTTAAAGCAACCAACTGACTTGTCCGCCGAGTTACCGATGAGATTGGTACCATCAGAGAGTGAAATAAGGCCAGTCTCCTCCTTTTTGGGTGGTCTATGGTATCGAGATCGGGGTCCTTGGCCTTTCTATAGAGAACAGATCTCGAGTAATCCCGTACTGTGTTTATCTTACTGATGTGTCTTGTGACATGATTTTAACTTATCTACTGCCCTGCCGAGCCAGTCTCTGCCTACTAACGAGCCTGGTTCAGCTGAATGTTGCAGTCAAAGGCAGCAGCTATATGACCTTTTGAGACTTAACATCAAGAAAGAGACTTTTTTTAATGCTACTTTTCATTTTGTCATACCTGGCGTTTCGTTCTTAAAACAACGATCCGACCCTTCTTCAGTGATATGTCGCATCAACACCATATGCTTGGGCTTTTTATAGAAAAGTCATGTATTACATTGAAGAGGATGGCACAGGGAAGGCTGTCTCAAGACAGCATGGGCTCTTTCAGGCATAGATATATCAACAGCGATTTAAGTCTCTGAATAGACTAGCAAGTCTCGGTGGCCTTTTTCCATGGATTTCTCCCATATGCGTCATCTCAGGAACTTCGGCGACGTTGATCACAAAGCTGACTTAGGCATAATTTAAATGCTATACTTCACGATCACTACGGCCACCTCAGATGGCAGTTATCAACACCAACAATGGATAGTTTTTTCAGTAGACGATCAAGTACATTCCAGATCATAAATATTACGATATAATTTCAATCTTCGTACAATAAAAAACAGACGGAATTTACGCCTGCTGGGCAGTCTGTTAAGCCAGGCGGAGTGATGAAGGACGACAGTAGTTTCTTGGTAACTGATAGGCGACCTCTGGTCTGCGAGAGCTGCTTTAACAGAGATGATTCACCATAAGACCTTTGACCCTGCACCAAATGCAGTGTCAGCTACAGAATTGTCAACAGTACAGCCCCTGCTTCAGCTCTGTAATTCGAACGACACCGCACACCACGAATATTCAACATGTATCACATACACTCAGCATAGGTCTCATTCTCTTGCGTCAAAACAGTCAAAGTCCAGATTGTCGGTTCGGACCCTTTTTCCCGAGATATAATACAAAGGCTCCCCTCATAAACCGCAATACACAAACAAAATTTCCAGTGGCCGTATTAACCCCATTGCAGATGGCGCATCCTCTCGTCTGTGAGAGGTCTCCTACTCCATAAAAATCATCTCCCCCTCTTCTCTTCGAGTTTCCCCTTGGTCGTCGTGCAATTTAGCTGGAGAACTTTCGGGTAATCTTGGCGATAACTTAAATAGAGTTAGCACACACAATTGTAGCGACAAGGGATCGAGGGGTGAAGTACTGTGAAGAGCAACAACGCTGAAGATGAAGACAAGGGACAGGACGAGAACGACGACAGGGTCGACCTTCAGACCGGGCGACTCATCGGTGTAAAGTCCTGTCGGGTTTGTTAGCACAGTCATCCAATGGCGCTTGTGTCCCAATTATCGAGACAGGGCGGCAACGTACGCAGCATGGTGCTGCTGGAACCACCGGCGCCAGCGGCGCGAGTGCTGCTTGGTCGAGCATTGGCAATCTTCTCCTTCTGGTCGGCAGCAGCGCGTCGTCGGATAGCAGTACGGGGACCACCAGGAATGGCAGGCGATGAGGGACGGCCGATGCTAGCACCGCTCGCAGCAGCGCCGCCGTTGACGGGAGAAGAAGGACGAGGAGAAGACTAGGAAGAGAATATGTCAGCAAATCGATGTTGCTGGGCTCAAAGATTCGAGCTCAGTCGCAATGCGACACTAGCTTCAATTGAAGTCGTAGGAGTAAAGCAGTCATACCATTGCTGAAGAATTAAACCTGGAGAAGGAGACTTGACAAAGGAATCACTGCAGGATTCCGAGAACCTAAGGCGCGAAGGAGAGAAATAAAGGAGAGGATGGTTTGGGTACTGAGTTGGACGTTGATGGAACCAAGATCGAGAGAGACGACACGGGGACTAAATTAATGGAGGTGTTGTGCAATTCCCCCCCGTAAATGGAGCACCCTGTTTAGGGAGTTAGTTGAGGCCACCTTCACCAGAAAGAAGGGGACGCGGTGCTATGATTTTCCGGTGGCGTTAGAGAGAGCTCCAGCCTCTTTCTAACGTTAGTTAGTTCAGGGACCATAGGGAATAGCTCTCTCCACATTATGAGCTGTAAGCTCCACCACTACAGACAGTACAAGCTACCTAACCCTCAGGGAGCAAGAAAATACCAGACCTTAAAATAAGATGTCGAAATAAACCAAGTAAAAGGTATCCTAAATTCAAACTAAATTTAGGCTCAATTTACGTTAACTTACCTAAGTCTTTTTATCAGTTAGGGGTCGAGGTCCTGAATTTTCTTTCCTCCCCTAGCTAACTTAGCGACCATGCGATAGGTAGTTTGCCAATTCAAGTCAAGCTTCAAAAGGAAAACATGTGATTTATCCAATTCCAACAAGAAAAAGCCACCATCGTTGATATTGTTTTTTTTGGGTGTTAAGAAATTTTACAATTTAGTGAGACTATGTATGGGAGAGATGGCTGTAGCCTCTACACCTGTCGATCCTATCATTTGGTCAGGCGGATTGGATATCAACGACAAACGCTCTCTTGCTCGCTTCCGAGTCCGCTCGCAGACTCGATATGAATGTATCAGGGGGTGGTGTATAATCAAAAAAAAATAACAACAACGACAAGATGAAGAATAAGAAGCGGTAGCAAAGACAGAAACCATAAGACAAAGGGAATCAAGATAACAAAAAACATTCCACGCATCGCTGGCGCGTCATCCATACACTCCACTTGTCCAGTACCTCCTCCAGCTCTATCATCCCCAGGAGATGGTAAGACGGGTTTTTGGCTCTTCTTGTGAAACTGCCTGTTGCTTCAGCCCAGCCCAGCGTATACTACACAACATCCTACCCATCCATCCTCTCCGTCCCTGGAGATGAAGAGCCCCTGATATGTGTCCCGTTGCCTCTCCTGATGCTGATCCATCTTTTGTGCTTCGAATCTGTGAGATGTAATGGTAAAGCCTGCTTCAAAAGGCCTCTGTGCTGATGCCGACCAAAGACCGCCAGGTATCTTTTGTATAAAAGGAAGTTGGAGCGTAATGGTAAGGTCCGTTTCGTTTCGTTTCGTGCCACCCGCTCAATTATGTATGATTAGACAATAGTACATCTACACCAGGAAACGAAAGCTCTCAACCAAACGCCTTCCGCTATGATGGCAACTCTGCAGATCAAGGGTTGTAGTTCGAATCGTTGAAAAGTGTTTTTGACAAAGTAAAAAAAGTTATTTTATGAAAGGTTCATGCTTCAGAGAGTGACGTCGAGGACAAGGCTGACGTCGGCCACGTTGGGGCCTGCCAAGTCTTCGAGAACGGGTATCAGGTCTAGTAGCTCGTTGTCGTGCGCATCAGAGAACCAACTGCTGATCGGGACGGCGTGCTGTGGGTGGAAGATGTATGAGGTGGGCGAGTTGTCAATGATGATGGTATCCTTTAGGTCACGTCCGACTTGGGACAGGTCCTTGACATAGTTTCCTTGATGGTTGTAGCAACTCTCACGGAATAGTCTATGATGGACGACCTTGTGAATGTCGAGCTGGTCCAATAACGGGTCTCCATACTGCATGTTGTTAGTTTGCTCATTCATCATCCGTGATTGGGCTGACTCACCTTGGAAACAGATGCTGTAAAGACAACAACTTCGTAGAGCTCACCGACTCGCTTCATGAATTCGTCGACACCGGGTCGCTTGATCACGTAGACATTGTGGTAGTTGCCCTCAATCTCGACAGGGATTGTGAAATCGGCCTGATGTAAGATCTGCATGATAATTAGCGCATATCCTATGATCCACCTTTACTCGAAGCATACCTTGAAAGAACTGTGGACAAGAGTCTCATCAAGGTCGAGAACAAGACACTTTCGACCCTTGTGCTCCGGTGCAATGGGAGGCAATAACCACTTCTGAGGCTCGGGTGCTGATGGGCCAGCGTCTGTGAATTGGCTGGGTGCCACGACAGCTGGACCAGGACCTGGGGGTGGGGGAGGAGGTGGTATCGTCCTTTGAGTTGGGGCTTCGACTGCAGGGGCCAATGGTGCCTCGTCTGGCTCTTCAGTGGCAGCATCTTGCATGTTCACATCACCGTCATTAGCCGCCTTGTCTGCCACCTTTGGCTCCTCTTCTGTGGGCGTCGGCTTGGGAGGCTCCACTGTAACTGCAGGAGGAATCGATTGCTTCGATTCCCTGTTGGCTTGCTCTGTCGCTGTGGTTTCGTTGTTGGCCGAGCCTGACGAGGTAGCCTCGTCCTTTGGCTCTGGTGCAGATACGGTTGTTTGAGGTTCTCTCTGGGAGGCTGGCCTGGGCTGTTCCTGGGGAGTGTTGGTTCGCGACCTTGCGGAAGTTGGGCGCGGAGGTAGGACGTCAAGCTTGTGCACGTTTTCGTTGTTATCTTCGTTTCCAGCTGGGCCCTCGGGGGTACCACAACATCCAAGAAAAGCCAACAGGCCACCACGGCTCTTCTTCTTCTGGGCGGGGGCAACAGGAGAGTTTGGCTGAGTGTTTGCAGCAGTGTTTGTGGGTTCAGTCTCGCCGCCTGTCCTGTTGCTTGAAGTGCTTCCATTCCGTCGTCGCGCACGGAGGCTACCTTTGGAGTCTTTCGATCGACTGCCGATGCTGTTCCGGGGATCGCTGACTGTAGCCCCACTCAACCCCGTAGATGTTGGTGACGATTGGTTCCGCTGTGATGATGATCTTGATGGGACCTTGAGGAGACCACGACCTTTCTTGGAGCTCGCTCCCCCTTCTGATGATAATTGACCCTTGTTAGACATTTCAGCATCGGCAGAGTTCGCCTGGGGCTGAATTTCGTCGTTCGGGTTTGATTGTAGCTTGTCTGACATGTTTGCTATTATTCTGTAGAAATTGTCAGCTGGTATTTCTTTGT